ACAGCAATCTGCAAAGAGGTTTGTGAGTTGCATCTATGAGATGCAGGACGGTGTTCTCATGGGAAGGTCGGGAGAACGGCTTTTCTGCATGGCTGAGGTAGGATTGTCCTGACTTAATTTCCCCACTGTGACACCTGGCAGGCTTTAAGCCTGGTTCAATGCAGTTGCTCATTATATATAACTTCTGCCTGGAATTGACATGAATCTAGGGATTCATGTTCTTTACTTGGTCCCTGTTCTTTCATGGCAAATTCCTGTAATCATAAGTTTTGTAAGCATAAATATTGAATCTATTAAAAAAAACTAGATTGATGCAGGAACCTCTAAGGTTATTATAGTAAGATGCAAGTATAAGATTGAGTTATTTGGCCTAGAACTTCAGAATTAAGTATTCAGTCTTGATATATTACTAGTATATTCCTGTGTAAGTCAGGATCCTTTAATTTCTCATAGTGGTATGAGGATAATTAGGCCAGGAGACTGTGGAACTAGGATATTATTCTGCTAATTAGTTAATACTTAGTTAATGTTAAAGTTTTAAATTGTCTCAGTTTGATACAATTAATTAATGTTAAAAGAAGAATAGCTTGTGACTTATATTGTAAATGCCTTGAAAGAAGCATCCATTTTAATTAAGGATTATTTATTTGTACATGACTAGAAGTTGGGATTGTTTTAGTATCTGATGTGTACTGGTTTTAAATTAACTACTATGTATTGGAGTCTTATTAATTCCTTAGTGGAATCTCATCCTCCTGATGGAGGAATATGAATAGGAATGAATCCTGAATTAATGCAAGGCATAAAACTAGAAGTAATGTAGAGTGTAAGGCTAGGTTCTAACTTTTCTAAACTGAGTTTCTTAAAATATGATAATTGGCCAAGGTTCTAATTTTAACCTTGTAATAGTGGAGACATGGGGGTTGAGTAAACTTTCATTATTTGCCCTGGTTATTGGCAAAGTAATTTAAAAACTGTGTTGAGACCAATCTTGTAGGAAAGTGGACCCAAGAAGGAGGATCTCTACAAGAAGAGAGTCTGCTGGACACTGTCTGAACAGCACTTGGACCAGAGGACTTCACCAGATGATGTCCAGAGTGTCAGAGAGCTGTATGAGAAGAGACTTCTGAAGCTTTAAATGGACAATTTATCGTTACTTTTGGGTCTCTGTATCTGTACTTAATAAGGGGACTGCCCCCTTTTTACTTCGTCAATGCGTCAGTCAATTCCTCCCTTCCTTCTCCCATATTGTTTTAAGTCCTCAAAATCCCCTGATGAAATGTTGCCCAGCAATACAGCCCCAGATAGAACCATCATTAAGGCATTGCAAGGTTTAACCACTTTAGCTGAGGAGTTGGCAGAGAACTCTTGGATAGATAACTGATTAAAGGGATAGTTAGAATCCAGGTTTGGCAAATGGAAAGGAATGGTTGTATCCATTCAGGAGTATTAATTGCTGTAGGATGTTGTATGATTTCATGCACTAGGGGAGTGGTACAACAATTGATAGAGACATCCCTCACTAAAGATTAACCCAGTAGGACCCACAGTGGGAGTTCAGAGGGCAGGCTCTGGCAATATAAGGATGATGATACCTTATGTATCAATGAGACTTTCCCCAGTGATGGAGAATTTGAAATCATGTTAAGGAGATTAGAGGATAAGGAAATTGGGAAGGTGTGGAAACCAAATCTTTACTTAAAAAAAAAAAAGTAGGAATTGTGAGAAATGAAAGAGTTAAGTTTCCACATAAGCAGATAAGAAATCAACACAGACAGGCTAACTTCTCCGTCCAAGGGGGGTAGTGATAACACAATTCTAGGCAAATAATGTATTTTAGGGGTGGGGCATATAAGGAAGATTGTAACCCAGAAGGATTAAGACCAATCCTGATCCAGAAGGGAGGAGTTAGGCAATTACTAACTATAAAGATTGCTCTGGCTTCTTTTATTGGGCGCATTTTCTCCCCTTCCAAGGAGGTGCGCCTGGTTCTTGCAAGAATTGAAATGGTGCACTTCAAACTCTTTAATAAGTCTTTGAGACACCAGTCTTTGGAATCGAGTATAGGGTCATCTTTATAACATTCTCTCTGCATGGAGGACCAGGTGTCTCCTCCTTCCTTCCCTGGGCCTTTTTGTGGTCTCTCTCTTCTCTGTGTAGAACCACTAGAGCTCTTATATGGGCTGGCAGTGTAATAATACTATGAAAGCTATGCTCAATGTCAAGCTGGTTCAACTTTCAACAATAAATGGTTCCCTTACCCCCTACACAAACACATACTCACTCACTTTTTCACCCTATGTAGACTAGGAACCTCATTCTAACACTGGTATACAAATCATCCCTCCATTCTGGATTAATCACTGGCCACCAGGAAGGCTTTTATGGACTTTGATTATAGCTACTCTAAAGAAATGCAGATATATCCCTAAATAATAGAGACTATGTCTAACTTACAAAAGGAAGATGACTAGGGTTAGAGAAATCAGGTGGGAGGAATTATGAGTAGTATACAAAGTTGGGGCAGAAGTTCAGGCTGAGAAAGTTAAAGAAATGCTAGCCAGATGACATAATAAGAATACAAAATAAAACTTTGGACACAAAAAAGAAATTGAAGGCCACAAGGCTATGAGAAAGGGCAAATGGACAGAAAGGGAACAGAGGCAGGGAAGAAAACAAAGAACAGATTGCTTGCTCATCTCATTCCAGGTTCTTTTAATATTGAGGGAGGGAGTTTTGGAGAGCTCCAGAAGTGATGAATGATAAATAACTGAGGATTTGATTCAGAGTAGAACCAAAGTAAGTATGAATTCTGACAAGCCTAGAGAGGCCAACAAGTGGGTAATGCAGAAGGAAAAAGTAATCCCTCTGTTAGTGCTGTAAATCAAATGGACGTTGGAATGTGGACGCTTAAGAGCAGTCAAAGAAATGGAGTTGGTAGAACTTTGCCCTTGGAAAGAGTGGAAAATTATACTGTACTCTGGAACTAATGAAAGTCACAAATGGCTGGAAGTAATGAAGGGCATGAGTGAAGTATGAACTTCTGCTACAGATGAGATCTCCAGGTTGAAAGTTAGCAAGGGGAAGCAGAAAAGATGACCGGTCCTAGGGCAAAAATAAGGATGACTGGAAAATACACTTATCTTTTGCTGCAAACCTTTCCCTGTGTTATTATTTGATTCGGCATACACTTACACAAGAATTTCATATAATAATATATTTCGGAAAGAGCCTAGTTTTATGTTGGCACTTAACAATTACTATAATGAAGTAATATCTTAACAATAGCTTGCTGAGGAAGGGCATTTTATTGACAAGAAAAGAGGAGAGCTTGGATGAGGGTTTAGGCATTTGGTGACAGAGCCAGGATTAAAACTCGAGTCTGCGGGAGCTTTTCTCACTGTACCACACTGTAGGTTATGAGGCGCATGCAGCTTCCAACCAAAATAAGCAACAATACGTCATTGGTTTTAAAACAGGAATAAGCTCACAGATTTAGAAGTGGAAGAGCCTCTGCAGGTGCTTTGCAAGGGCTATATAAATGCTAGTATTATTATTATTATATACCACCTAGAGAGTCCACCTAAGAAAGGCATGAAGGAAAGTTGTCTAGAAAGCAGGAACTGTATCCCACTCTCCTGGCACCCATGGCTATCTCTCCCCCTCCAACAACAAATCACCCACCATTTTCTCCAGGTACCATAATGATAAAATAAAAGAATCAGGTGGGAAAGATTGGAATGAACATTCACAGAGGTGGACTATGTATCACACTCAAGGGGTCATTGAGATTGTCAAAGCATAGGTGGTGGAAGGGCATTCACAATGAATCAGAACAGGATTAGAACGGAGTTAACTATTAGCATACAGGTAGAAGGCAGGATGCAGGTAGATGGTGCAGTGGACAGAGTGCTGGGCCTGGAGTCAGGAAGACCTGAGTTCTAAACCTTTCCTCTGACACTTGCTAGGTGAGTGACCTTGGGCAAGTCACTTACCCCTGTTTGCCTCAGTTTCCTCATCTGTAAAATAAGCTGGAGAAGGAAATGGAAAACCACCCCAGTGTCTTTTCCAAGAAAACCCCAAATGAGGTCACAAAATGGACGCCACTGAAAAGAATGAACAACAAGGTAGGAGGAGGGGTTCGGGACATAAACAAAACCTTATGCTCCTAAGGCCTTCGAAAAGAATCATTCTTTCAGCACCACCTCATTAGTGAGGATGGAAATTGCTCATTTGTCCCTAAGGAAGTGTGGATGAGTGGGATGCAGGGCTCCAGAAATGGCATTTCATCCTCTTCTATTAGGCAACAGTGTTTACTCCCTGTTCGTGACTTTAAAAAACAAAAAACAAACAACAAAAACCCGACTCCTGGGATGCCAATCAACAGCCGCAGCGCTCGTTTTTGGACAGCAGCTCTCCCTGCCAACTCCCCAAATCACAGTGTATCTTATAAATGCCAGTCGGGGAAGGGTCTGCAAGCCCAGTTGCTGGAGGTCTGAAGTCATATTAGCTGAGGGGAAGTTGGGGAATTGATACCAACGCTGATAGGGATCTTTAAGGGTTGCAAAGGGTTTCCATCCACTTTAGCTCTCGTTTAAATCCCGACAGCCACCCCGAGGAGTAGACACTAAAATTAGCTTCGTCTTATAGATGGGGAAACTGAGGCTCGGAGTCACTTGCCCTCAGCCCCCAGCTAATAAGCGTCAAGGGCAGGACTCAAACTCGGGATTCGACCACCCCTGGGTCCAGCGCTCTGCCTCTGGTCCTCCCCGGGACCGATGCTCTCAGATGGGGGAAGGATGAAGGGGAGGGGCGAGGGAGGGAGAGGAGGATAGCAGGGGGAGGGAGGAGAGAGAGGGAAGGAGGGAGGTCCAGGGGGCGGGTGTTGACCCTCCCCCCCACCCCTGCCCTTGACCTGGGGATGAGGGGGGGAGGGGGCGGTGTAGGTAAGGGGGAGGGGCGGTTGTCCTGGGAGACGGGAGGGGGGGCCGCCTCCTCACCTGGGAAGTGACCATGATGCTGGAGTCGATTAAGAAACTCATGATGAAGCTCTTGGGGAACTCGGACCCCGTCCGTCACGGCTGCTGCCCGCAGCTTCCCGCTCTCCGGCCTCGGAAGCCACTTACACGCTCGGGCCAGTGGCCCCAAAGGCCGGCGCCATTGCTCCAGCACAGTCAGCCACTCGCCAGCCCCACGCCATCGAGCGGCGTCCGCCGCCAGCCAATCAGCGGCTGTAAAGGCGACGATAATGCCCGCCCCCTCCCTCCCTGGGGGCGGAGAAAGACTACGAGTGGGCGGGACGGGGCGGGAGGCCTGGGAGAGAAGCGGAAAGACAGGAAAGGGGCGGGGCGAGGAGGAGGGGCGGTGCTGGGAGAGGGGAGGAGGTACTAGGAGAGGAGAAAAGATATATGCAGGATTGGTTTTAGAAAAACGTGGAGGGGGCAACTAGGTGGCGCAGTGGATAGATCACCTCAGGAGGGCCTGAGTTCAAATCCAACCTCAGACACTTGACACTTACTAGCTGTGTGACCCTGGGCAAGTCACTTAACCCCAATGCCTAGGCCCCCCCCACAAAAAAAACCATGGAAAGACTTGCATGACATAATGCAAAGTGAAGCAAGCAGAACCAAGAGAATGTGGAAGAGTAACTGTGAATGACTAAGCTATTTTGAGTACTATGATCATTAAAATCAACTACCAAGGACTTACGAAGGAAAATGCTTTCCACCTCTGGAGGAAAAAAATGTATCATTGTATGGTTCCACACAGATGTTGGCCTTCTCTAATTCGGGGTTGGTGGGGAGAGAGAGAAACAATTTGAAACTCAAAATATAACAAAAAAAAAATAAGAGAGAAAAAGGACAAATTATGCAGAGTGTCTCCTGATTAATCCCTTGGCAACAAGAACAAAGTTCCCCACTGTATTCCCACCTAAATGTCAAGGGGTTAAGTAATCAGCACAGAGATACTGCACTTTTGGTTGCAGTATTTGGCAGAACTGAAAGAAAGGGAAGGTATGCTACATGCTGAAGGGTCTGTGGACAACAGAAGAAGATAATGGGAAGAGGATGAAATGTCACGTGAAGTCTCGCACGTATCCACCACAGACATCATAGTCTGGAAGATCATCTTTCATTGTAGCCTTTAATTCCCCTCCAGGAACCATACCTTTTTTTCCTCTTTTTGGCTTTGCTTTGCTTCTCTTGTTTCTGTTTTGTTTTGTTTTGTTTTGTTTTTACCACTGTCAATGGATTGGTAATCTTTTTCAGTCATCCATTTTCAGTGGGACACTTGTCTATTCTTGGAAGTCATGCCCTCCCTTAATGTGATTCATCCAGTATGGCACTCACTTTTTTGACTTCCACACCACATTGCTGACTCATACTGAGCTTGTAAAATCCACCAAACCCCTCAGATTTAGTGGAACAACAACTATCTAAACATGTCCCTCCATCTTATACTTGTGAGGTTGATTTTACAGACCCAAATAAAAGGCTTTACATTTGTCCTTACAGAAATTCATTTTAGATTGAACCCAATGCTGTAGTTTGTCAAACTCCTTTTAGTTCCTGATTCTGCCACCCAATCTGTTAATTATCCCTCCCAACTTTGGGTCATTTGCAAACTTAATGAGCATATCATTCATGTCTTTATTCAAGTCATTGAGAAAAATGTAAATAGCACACGGCCAAGCATAGATCATTGGGGTACTCCACTGGAGAACTCCTGATATGATGACATTGAACTGTCAACAATTACTCTCTGAATCTGGCCATCCAACAAGTCCCAAATCCCTCTGATGGTATTCTTGTCTAATCTACATCTCTCCATCTTTTCCACAAAAATAGTATGGGATACTTTATCAAAATCTTTGCTAAAATCTAGGTAAACTACATCCACAGAAGGCCCTCTTGTACAAGCTTAGTAATTCTATTAAAAAAAGAAAATGAGGTGAGTTTGGCATGACCTATTCTTAATGAAACCATATTGCTTCTTTATAATTATCTCTTTAATGATGTATTCTAGAGTTTTCCCTGGAATTGAAGTCAAGCTCAATGGTCTATAGTTTGCAGAATCTGTTTTCTTTCCTTTTTTATTTTTAAATTGGAACATTTACCCTTTTCTAATTCTGTAGTAGTTCTTTCATTTTCCATGATCTTTCGAACATCACTGACAATAGCCCAGCAATCACATTTACCAGTTCTTTCAAGATCCCAGGATGTAGTTCACCTGGGCTAAGTGACTTGCATTCATAAAGGGCAGCTAGGTGCTCTCTCTCTAATTCCTTACATAGCTTGGTTATCAACTTCCTATTAGTTATTTTTGTTCTGTCATTTTCATGTTAAAGGTAATTCTTCCTTGCAGAGAAAGCAGAACAAAATAAAAATTGCACAGATTTGTTTTCACTCTGTTGTCAGCTATCAATGGTCCATCCCCCATTAGCAGAAGTCATATCCCTTTTTTGATTATCTTTTTTCTCATAATGTAACTTTTTCCTTTAAAAAATGAACAACCCCTTTCCTTTTTTTTGACCTTAGTTTCCTTTGCTTGTCTCAGCTCAATCTGAGTATTAGCATTTCCCATACTATCTTTATAGGCTGGTCTATGCTTTTTTATTCATTTTCTACAAATTAAAAAAAAATAATCTAAGTGGTCAGTGAGTTCTTTGCACATCTACATTGGTTTCATCAGACAAATCTCACTTTTAAAATCCTCATTAGAATGGTTTGTTTATAACTTCCGAATGTCATTCTTGAGCATCTCCCATCCTTCCTAGTCTGTGTTTCCCTGAAATACTTTAAAATGTTGAAAAATATTGTACTTTTTTACTCTATGGAATCCTGTCCATCTTTCTTCTGAACCATTTGAAATCTGCTTTCCCTATATCTGAGATGTATATCAGACTATGCCCAGATTTCTTCTTTCCTTATCACAAACTCTAGAAATGAGTGGTCCTTCCTTTGACATTCCCATCATTTCCACTTCAGAAAAAAAATCTTCCTTGTTAGTAAGAATCAGAACTGGAATAGAATTTTTCCTTCTTGGTTATTCCACTTTTTGAGGATAAAATTATTGCTGAGGCAAGTCAAAAAGTTCTTTTCACAGGTGAGGAAACTGAGATACAGGAAATGAAGTGACTTGCCTGAGGTCAGAGAGGTGGGAAGTATACAGATATAACTTTTTGCCAATTTGGCAGTGAAAGGGAGAAGAAAGATGGACTGGTAACTGGATGGAGTAGAAAGGTGAGATGAAGGACCCTCCCCCCCAGTATTGGGGATACTGAAGTGTATTTGTAGGCAAATATAAAGCCAGTGAAAAGCGGAAGACTGAAGATGCAAAAGAGAGATGAGGTGATGCACCTTAGCAGGATCTTAGAGGAGGTGTGTGTATGTGGGGTGTCTTATCAAGGGCACAGGTAACTTTAATAACCTTAATAAGCAACATGAACACTTCTTGCTCCGACATAAGAAGGTTGCTGCTGAGATGTTTTGAGGGGTGAATGCTGGGGGTTAAAGGAGAGTCTGCAAACTGAGGCGTGAAAAGTTTGCAGTGGGAGGTATATGTAAGTTTAAGGTATAAGTTTCATCTCAGAGGGAAGGCATTAGCAGAACAGGAACCAGGAAAAGTCTTCTGCAGAAGATGGGGATTTGGGCTGAGTCTTGAGGGAAGCTAGAAATCAGAGATGAGAAGGGAGAGGATTCCAGGCATGGGGAACAGCAAATGAAAAGATACCTAATCAGAAGATGGAGTACCGCATCTGAGGAACAGAAAATATGCCAATATCACTGACTCATAAAGTGTGTACAGGAAAGTAAAATGTCAGAAGCCTGGAAAGGTAGGAAGGATTCAGGTTGAGAAGGGTTTTAAATGCCAAATAGAGGATATCACATCACATTTTAGGAGCTTATTGAGTAAGGAAAGGGCGACGTGGGCAGGTCTGTGCTTTAGGAAAACCTCTTTGGCAGCAGAATGGATTGGAACAGAGAGAGACTTGGGGTAGGGAGACCAGCCAGAGGGCTAGTCCAGCCATGAGGTAATGAGAGCCTCTATCAGGTTTGTGGCTATAGGAGTGAACCTCTACAAAGAATGTGCAAGTAGGAATAATGTGACTTGACAATAAAAGGGAAAGAACTGTCCACTAGGGAAATGGATCTAGTATTTCAAAGTTGAAAGATCCTTCAAGTTCATGTGATCCAATCCACACTTGAATTTCTATTGTATTAAATTCAAAGGGTATAAAGAGCAGTAATTTCTCTTACTGAACTCAACATTTCACTTTTCATCCAAGCGAAGGAATACTGAGTTATTTCCCCAGTCTACGACGTAAAATCTTCTTTGTCTTAAATATCTCATGCTAGGACTCTCCCCTCCAAGATGGGTTAGGTTAGCTTTTCTCTGAAAGGTGACAAAGCTGTCCCTAAGACATGATGTCCAGCTTGCTCCAGGAGCAGAATGCCATTGAGTTAATCATTCCCCACTCAAATTCCTTCAGTGCTTTGGGGGAGGAGGGAAATTGGCACTAGTCTATTTTGAAAGTTAGCGAAAAATCACATTTAATTTACAATCACATGTAAAAAAATCTGTAAGCTGAGTGATCAGTTTTTTATGCCATTAAGGAAAACTTGAAATTGATTTCATCTAACTTCATTGACTGGAAAAAAAGTGAAAGATTTGTGACTTAGTCAATGAGAAATGACATTTTTGATTTGTAGAATCTCAAGGGAACTTGGGCATACAGTAGACTAGTTGCATTACAAACAAAGGCTGCTGGGACTAAGAAATTTCATCTTAAGCTTGGAAACGGGCAATCTAGATAATTCTTCATCAATCAATGAATCCATGAATCAACATGCACTTGTAAAGCACATATTTCAGTTACTATGCTAGGCACTGAGGGTTAGTGGGGTACAAAGCCAAAAATGATATTGTGGCTGCCCTCAAGGAACTTATATTCTCTTAGGGAAAGAAAAACACACATACATTTAAGTAAACATTACAAAATAAATACAATGTACTTTCAGTGGCAACATGGGAACTTAGATTTGCTCCCAAGAAAAAACACAGATACATTAAGTAAACACAAGCTAAATACAAGGCAAATACAAGGTAATATTCAGAGAAAGCACTAGTAGCTGAGTGGATAAGAAAAGACCTCCCACAAGAGCTCTGGGCATTTCA